TAAGATAACATAAGATAACATAAGATAACATAAGATAACATAAGATAAGATAACATAAGATAACATAATATAACATAATATAACATAATATAACATAATATAACATAACATTATATAATATAATATAATATAATATAATATAATATAATATATATAATATAATATAATATAATATAATATAATATAATATAATATAATATAATATAATATAATATAATATAATATAATATAATATAATATAATATAATATAATATAATATAATATAATATAATATAATATAATATAATATAATATAATATAATATAATATAATATAATATAATATAATATAATATAATGAATTTGTCACTTTATACATGATACAAACTAATTAAAGACAAATAAAGACAGATACAAATCGTGACAGGGGAAAGGAACAGGACTCTCGTCCCAATTGACACCTAACCCCTAAAAAGAAGTTAGATATAATTATAGCACATTAGTTATAACAACTTAGACTATCTAAGATTTGAATCGTGACTATAAAGGTGCTGAACGTTTACACACTGCGACTTACCCACCATGCAGATTACAATTATTCAAAATCAATTTGGAAACACGAGACAATTTATATAACATATTAGTAAATATGATGAAAATGACCGGATGATGGTTCAACAAATCGCAATGTGTAGACGCTGATCACGCAGTGCCCGGAGGTACGTAATGCGATAACTTAGTAGAATACAACTTATGAAGATGAGACTTGAAAATACCTAAAGAATTGCGGGAGGATTTGACAAGAGACGGTAGAGTGTTCCATAGTTCAACCGCTCAAATGAAAAAAGAATTTCTAAGATAGTCCTGCTTGAGTTTAATTATAAGATTATAGTTGTTTTTATCATAATTTCCTGATTGGTATCCAGGTTCAAAAGTACAAATATATTTGTTCACATCCGCAGTAAGTGCTCCAGTTCTAGATTTAAAAAGTAGGCATAAGTATGAGATATCATTTCTGAACTCAAGAGGGAGAATCTTGATCTTCACAAAGTTTGTGAAAATCCCCTCTCCAGTTCAGACACAAAGTCACTTTTATGTCACCTTCGTATGGTTAAACTGCTGCCGAGCGATTTTGTTTTCAGATTTTTGATGCTATTTGGTGGCACAATCAACAGTTTATATATATATAGATAAATCTATTTTACGAGTGTGAAAGACTAGACCTTGAGCAATATTGCTTGGTGTTTTGCATGCGATTCAAAAAATATGTGAAAATGTGTATTTTTTTGCATGAAATACAGGGTGTATCAAAAAAAACTGAACAGATTTAAAATTGCTTTCAATTTTGCAAAACAGCTACTTGTATCCGTTTTTTATATATATAGCCTCTTTGGGTACTTATAATGTAGAATTATGAGAAAAATTTCTCGAACTCAAATTTTGTGAACCAGGGGGTGTGTCTTTTCCAACAAACTAAAAATGGCTCGCGCACAAAATTTAAAAGCTGCAATCATATTTTGAGTTAACAGATAGAAAATGTGTCGGGTTTTTAATTACTGTACAAAATTTCATTTCCTAAAAATCAGCTATTTGCATGCTTAATTAATGCTTTGCCTAATTTGCATATGTCAGCAATATGCAAATTAGGTAAAGGCATTAATTAAGCATGCGAAAGGCTGACTTTTTAGAACAAAATGAATAGTTAAAGGGCTTAAACTACACCAAATTGTCTGAAATTTTGTACAGTAATTAAAAACCCGACAAATTTTCAATCTGTTAGCTCAAAATATGATTACAGCTTTTAAATTTTGTGCGCGAGCCATTTTTAGTTTGTTGGAAAAGACACACCCCCTGGTTCACAAAATTTGAGTTCGAGAAATTTTTTTCATTATTTTACATTATAAGTACCCAAAGAAGCTATATATATAAAAAACCGGATACAAATAGGTGTTTTGCGAAATTGAGAGCAATTTCAAATCTGTTCAGTTTTTTTTTATACACCCTGTAGAATATGCAGATGCAGATTTGGGCTCATTAGCGGTGATTTTGGCTCATTTGCATGCATATAATTAGTGACATGGATGGAGTAAACTCTAAGTTACAGAACCAGAGTACATGCACTCATGCAGGGCAGTCAGAACGTTTTCTAAAATGTCGCTAAATTTATCATTTTTCGCGCTTTTATAAAATTTCCTTAGAATAACTGAATATTTTTAACAAGGATCCTACTAAAAAGCAGGATGTTATTTTAGCGAATCAAAAACCATTGACGTGCATTGTCGTGGTGCAAAGATGTCTTTTCACATCTTCTTCTCAGACATGTTATTGATTTTTTCTCTTATTTTCTGATATGACATGTAAAACGTATACAAGAACAAACATATAAAATAAAAAAGTAGGGTCACGGACCTTTAATTCTTAAAGAGATACAAGGGTTAAATTAAACATACATCATGATGTGGTTTAGTGTTAGTTGCACATGGAGTTGTAGCCAGAGTTCTATCATTTTTGAAGGTATATTTCCTGAAACACGCCCAATCAATGCAGACTGTTTTTCTCTTTGCCCTTACTCTTTTTTTATCACTAATTTACATTGCAATTCGACTACATATCAGGATTAGCTAGAATTTGCTATGATATGTGCAGTAAAAGTGCGCAATGCATAACACTGATGAATCACCAACCAACACCGCGGAACAACGTCTGCACATGCGTCAACCTTAGTGAAACTTGCCTTGCGAACGTGGTGTCAAGAATTGCGAAGATTGTCAAAACTCAAAATGGAAGCGACAAGGAGCGACTTCGATGTTTTGCTTTTTCTGTGAAAATGCAAGCGGAATAATGAATGTGACAACCTAAAAACTAGAAATAATTACAATCCGGATGTGCAAGAAGTAGTATTATACAAGAAAATGAACCAAAGGTGACTGTTGATAAGTACATAAAGGCATTAATTAAGCATGCAAAAGGCTGATTTTTAGGAAAATATGAATAGTTAAAGGCTTAAACTAAAGAAATTTGTCTGAAATTTTGTACAGTAATTAAAAACCCAACACATTTTCCATCCATTAACTTAAAATACGATTAAAGCTTTTAAATTTGTGAGAAAGCCATTTTTAGCTTGTTGGAAAAGAAACACCCCCTGGTTTACAAAATTTGAGTTAGAGCTTTTTTCATTATTTTAACATTATGGGTACTCAAGGAATCTATATTTAATAGAAACTTCATACCACGAGCTGTTTTGCGAAATTGAGAGGAATTTCTAATCTGTTCAATTATACACCCGGTATAGATCTTATCACGAAATGACTTCATTTATCGATTGAGTGCTATAGGATAAACATTATTTAGCAGAAAGTACCCTTACTCTTATAACTATATATGATATATATAAAAGAGCCAAGAGCTAGAACAGATATTAAAATAACCATGCAGATATAAGAGAAAAAAGCAGACCATTCTTGTCCATCATAGGGATTAAGTTATCAAAGATTGTAAATAATCCAGTGGAAGTGCATTTATGATATACAGAAGTGAAGAATGAACTATTTGGATTATCACGTCAAGAAAATGTAGAGAAGAATTGCTTTCAAGCCCATGAGTGAGTTTGATTTTAGGATGTGTGCAATTGAGATAAGAGAGAAAGTGAACAACTGATTAAATATAAGAAAACAATCATCAACATAGCGACGATATAGAATAATGGTTAAAGATAGAAGGACAATCAGCTATAGAAAAATACTTTCTGAAAAAGTGGACCAAGAGGTGATCCCATTGCCGCACCATCAAGCTGTTTGTATAAATCTATTCATTATATGTAGAATCATTTTCTCCAAGTGAGATTTGGAACAACTTGAACGCTTATATATACAACCACTAGAAATATATATACATGTACTTATTTATTCAACTGTTATATTATTATCTAGTTCACTCGCTATTTCATTCACACACACATTGTAGTCTTATAACATATACAGCATGATGTTTGTGATGTTACTATGCAGTATTTTCTTTCAGTTCTATCCAAAACTTGCCATTTCTATTTCATGCATTATTTTAACTCTGTTCAACTGTACAGCATAGAAGCAAAACTCCATACCTATACGACTCTCTATACCCCCTGCCCAACTACTTATCAACAGGCCAACCCCGGAAGCTGCTAGGTTCGCCTTAACAGACTTTGTTTTCTGTCTTATCGTTAGTTCAGGGGCCGAAGTCTTATTTATAGTGACTTTTCGAGCGAATGAATGCGCTTCGTCGGGAAGTTAGTGACAGTGTTGGGGCCTTCGCTCGAAACTTCGAAGTTGTGTAATTTTCATGTAGTTATATCTGTCTCAATCCACAACTTTCTTGTAGTCATTGTTACCCACACTGGCACACACCGATCAACATTATACACTTAATTATTTACTGAGACCGAGGGAAACAGTGTGTTTTGTGGACCCGAGACCGCCGTTGTTGCCCGAGGCGAAGACGAGAGCAACAAGGCGGCCGAGAATAATTCACCGGTTAATGGAGTAAACTTTGAAACCAAAACCAGATATAAAATGGAACGCCGTAAATGTTTAATAAAAGAAGTTTAATAAAATGAACTTTGGAACTTCAAGGTTGACGCGCATGCGCATGGAGTGAAGCCGTTATAATGTAAAGCTAGTTTTACACATTTCTAGCACATGAATAGTCGCATAAAAAGACAGAATTTAAATTAATGCAGAAATGGACTGACGTGCTCAACTAATTACGTAGGTGACGTCATTGAGGTGTGGGTGACGGAAGATTTTTAGACGACTAATTTCCATTTGTGATTGAAATATTCATATTCCTGACAGACGCATACATATTCTTGCCACAAATATTCATATTCAAATCGGAAAACTCCATATTACATATTTCACTTCCACGAATTTTGCTAAAACTGGCACAGATATATAATTGCCTGCTTGATATGTTGCATTCTTGGCTCTCCCATTTGGATTCCCCTAGCAATTACCTTCGCATATGCTTTTTGGATTCTCTAAGGGTTTCGATCGTATTGGTCATAATGTTCTTCTTCAAAAGCTTGTCGACATCGGAGTTAGGAGATCTTTAATCCCATGGATTGCATAAAGTTCCTATCAGGGCGAAGAGTGCAGTGTGTCAAACTTGGAGAAGCTACTTCTAGTTGGCTTCCTGGCAAAACCGGTGTCCCCCAAGGAACGAAATTGAGTCCGATCCTGTTCTTAATTATGGTCAATGATTTACAATGCAGTTCAGGGAAATCTGGCATTTGGAAATTCGTTGATGATGTTGCCCTCTCTGAAGGACTATTAAGAAATGGGGAGCCATCTTTAATCCAGTCCGATCTAACTTCTTGTGAGAAAACAATGAAAAAGATTGCATTAGGCGGTCGCCTATCGTGTCATTAGGGAATTTTGCAAATCACAACGGCAACGGCAGCCGTTCTAGGTTGCCAAACTCCCTATCTACCCCTGACGAGGGAGAACGAACATGCATGGGTATAATTTTATTAAGGAATTTTGAACAATTCTCTTCTTTTAAATGTAGAACTGCGATAGGTTCGGTAACAGTCTTTTCCCTATAGCATGATCAGTGTCTTAAACTAATTAAATAACTGTTCTTAGTTACATAGTTTTTAGTCTTAATAATACATTGTAACATAGTTAGATTTTGTTTATAGCTAACTTTACCAAAATTGTAAAAACATTGTAATTCATTTCATGCTAAATTATGCGATGATGTGTTATTAATCATTAATAAAATAAATAAATAATCAGGTTTCGTTGGTGCCAAAACCGTTGGGATATCCAGAACACCAGTTTCGCACCACAAGCCGTACATTTATTAGGAACAAACTAATGAGTGGTATAGCCTATACTCTTTAGATATCTCTTTACATGAGTGTCAAAAATTGTGAAAATTAAATGAGAACGAAGATGAATTTATTTTAGAAAGATTATTTTTAAAAGTCCCATCCCATAACAATTTTAATTGTTAAAACTCCCATACTGGTGACTTTTGCCTTTGTATTGCTGCAGGACTTTAAAAATGTCGTTCGTCCCATGCAATCTCGTTTAGATGATCACAATATTTACATGATCTGTCACTGTATGAAACATAAGATTGTTGTATCGACCAGTTTCAACCGGTAATCTATGAGCTCATTGAGCTAATATTCTTAACTTTGTATATTTGAAATTGTGGATTAAGATAGATACGTCTGAAAACCAAAGTTAATTTTCAGTTTTTTGAAAAGTCTTAATTTGCCATTGTCTCCGGACTCCATCTTGTTGTTCGTCGGGTGGTATTAAGAAATCCTTCAAATTATTAACTTGAAAATTACCGATAATTGTAGAAAATATTTTGTGAATAGGTTGTAAATGAATCGCATGCTGACACTCGCGGCATTACCGTACCAAGACATGAGTATTCTCAAGAAAATAATTTCACAAATAATTTCATTGATGTTGACGTGTAAACCTTCTCATATTTTGAATTTATAGTAAATTCTACAAATAACATCAAATATAGTGTTTCTAGACTTTTCTTCAATCAGCAGTTGATTTATCACCCAATTAATGTAATACTTGATGTAAAGTGCCAGCAGATATTTACCCTGAGAGCAGAGCCTGATTTCCCTTCGCGGAGAAAATAAGGCGCTGTCGTTTTTGTGTTTCTGTTCGTCCAATATTCTGGACGAAGTAAACCGGTTCTAATTGTAGTCTAGGACCTGTATATGAGTTTGTATGCGTTTCATTTAGGACAGGTAATCTTAACTGTTTTAGGGTAAAATGGCCATGGCGGTCAACATGGCATATGTGCCAAAACCTGAATCCGGTACGAAAGTCCTGAAAATGACCCCGCCCTGAAACGGCAGTGTCGACATAGCTCTAACTTCCGAAAAGGGAAAGCAATAGC